AGCCAAAGCAGGACTCAGATTTCATCTGCTTTCTGCTCCCAGGTCTGCTGCTTTTTGGGCACAGGCACTGCAAATTCTCCAACAGGCCAGGTAACTTTGTCAGGTTATGTGAGTACAGGGTGAAAATACTCCCTTAAAGCTTTTTTTTCTTATCTTTTTTGTTTTGGTTTGTTTTTTTTATTCGTGGGCTATACGATATTTCCTGTGGAAACTCTTGTTCTTAAAAAAAAACACCAGAGTTATTAAAGATAAAAGCAACATCCCATATCTACATTTTTAGTGTCTCTGGCTCAATATTTCAATATACTTTTTCAACAAAACCCCCAGCACTGGAGACACTGTTCAGCTCCCCAACATGCCTCTGGCACCCATCCCTGCCTGCTCAGCCACTGCTCCATGGGGATGCAAGTCCCATTCCCAGTGCCCTTGTGGGTCTACCCCGCACTCCCTCAGCACATGCTGCACCTAAGGAGGCCCTGCTGACCCCACAAGAGAAAGACCACAATTCCTTTTATAATTACTTAGGAGCATTCAGCTGGGACCTCTCTGTGTCATAATCTGTGCATCCACAAAAGCTCAGTAGATCTGGAACCCACCCAGGAGCCAGCAAGCACAAGGGCAAGGCCAGCAGCCACAGTGCTGCTGCCACCACTGCTGGAGACATCCCAGGGCTGCTCAGGACACAGCAGCAGTTCCTGCCTGGCACCCCAGCCCTGCCCCAGGGCAATTCCCAGCAGCTGACCCCACCCCTGCACACCTCTCCATCTCTCCAGGACAATGCATGTCCCTACAATCTGAAGGCAAAAAGTCCTTGAACTTTCTGTGTGATTTCGAGAGCGGGGGAAAGCCCAGGAGATTACTGAGCTCAATAGAGGATTGGGGTAGAACAGGACCCGCCATCGCCTCCTCCCTCTCCTCAGGCTCTCAGATCTTGGGCCACTGCTGGCCTGTCCCCATTAACCATTGTTCCTATTCATTTTAGATGAAGGGGCTTTTGTTGTAGGAGCCCATGCGGGGTCACACTGCCCCTCGGTTATCAATCTGTTTCTCTCCCCTCTGTCCCATACTCCATCTCCCTGCTACAATGGGATGTTTTCTTCGGCAGCGGCTTCCTGACAGGCAGCGGTTCCCTTTGCCTTCAGACCTTATAATCACTCGTTAAGCTGTGCTAGCCTCGGGCTCCCCCGTCCCTTTTCCACCATACTCCCAGTTTAACCCCTGATCCCATCTGTGCTACGGGTCACTGGGAAAGGGGAAAAAATACAGCCGTCCCAGCGGGGCCGGCGCGGGCTGTGCGTGCACGGGGCATCCGAGCTGGGAGCTTTCCCCCGTCCTGATTGTGTGGGAGCACCTGGAAATGGATGGTGGAAGCAAAGCCTTGTTTGCCAGAGTGACAGAGGATTTGGGTTGCTCAGTTTAAGCCTTCGCTTGCCAAAGGGCTCTCTTCTGGTGAGTAGGTTTGTTTATTCAGTGTCCCCGGGAAGGGCATCCCAAACCAGCCCTTTTGGAGTAGGAAGCGTTGCTGCTGGTGGTGGTGGAGGGGGATTTTGGCACCTGCAGTGCTGTGAGAAGAGCCCTGCTTGCTCTCAGGAACGACTGGTGCAGCAGAGCATTTGTGGGGGGAGGCAGGAAGGGAGCAACAATAAAATAGTAAATAGGTAAAAGGAGAAGGGAACAACGAGCAAGGTAAGGAGCGAGTGCAAACAGGAGCGCGGAGGAGAGCCTGCCAGGACCATCCCGGGGCTGAGCCCGTGCCAGCAGCAGGGTTGGTGCCAGGGAGCTGTGAGTCACGGGCACGGCGCGCAGCCCCGCACGCCGGGCTGGCCCCGCTCCCCTCCGCCCCACCAGCCCACCAGGGAGGGTGACCACACACCCACGTGCCCACCACGGTGTGCAGAGCTGCCCCAGGGGTCCCAGCACCCCGCTGCTGCCAGGCTTCGGGTCTGTGATGGGTGTAGGGAAACGCTCTGCGACTGGCAGATTGATCAACATGGCACAAATTTAAAGGGGAAAAAAAAAAAAAAAAAAAAAAAGAGGCTGCGCTAAAAACGGTAAGCCAGTTGAGCAAGAGGCTGAGTAAAATGAAAAGCACCTTTCGCTCCAAGCTCTAAGACATTAAAAATACCCTCTAAGTTATCCCTGAGAAGGGTTATTTTTGCAGCAGGGCTGAAACAGATAAAGAAGTGTAAGTTCTCAGCCCTGGATGCCATGACGTCAGCCACATAATTTTTCTGGCTTTATAGTACATTGTTCATCAAATGGTCTTCGTAGCGGGAGAAACTCTTCCAAAAATAAGGCCCAAACCCGTCTGCTAAGAAAGAATCTCAGATTTGCAGCTGTACTAACAGAGCCCACAGCAATGTGAGGTACAGAGGGGTGAAATTATGCACTATTCCGTGTACTGCCCTTTCTAAGGTGTAAGACACCTTCCTTCTCTGAGAGCTCTTGTTGACTGTGGAGTCTCTGGTCCCTTTTCAGCCCCAGAAGGAAGAAATGATGAGTCAGGGTCTGAAAAAAAAATCACAAGTTTGCCTTAAATATCGTGGGGCTGTTTTAAATAGAGATATATTTAGCTTATTGCTTTCTAGACACCAAAACTTTTTAAATAGGCTCTGGTCACATTTTCCCTAGGCAACTAGTGACTTTTTAAAGGAAAGCTGAGATTCTTACTGATGTTTCCAGGAAAAAAAGCTGCAAACAGGAGTCCTGTGATACAAGCCCAGCAGATACACACTCCACACTCTTTCACACCGATTTCACTTCTCTTTTCCCTTTTTTTTCTCCGTTTGGAAGGACCATTTATTCAAACAGAAAATGTAGCATTGTTTTAAGTGTCTGGGAAAAAAAAAAGAAAGTATCATAATAACCAGCATAAAGAAGTCAAACCACTTTGCATTGATCGTGCTCCTTCTGCAGGGCCCACTCCAAAGCCCATTGATGTCAGCAAAGTCTTTTCATTGACTTCAATGAGCTGGATCAGAGCACAGATTTATAAAGGCATTTAGGTTCCTAATGATGTAAGTAGTTGCCTAGAGGTGTTGGGGGCCTAACCTGCTTATAGCCTTTTGTAAAACACACCAGGCATCTACTTACATGTTGGAGCATTGAAATACCTGAAATGCTACAATATCTTGAAGTCACCAAACACAACGGAGCTGGAATCACACTCACTAATTTTAGATAAAGTGATCTGGCTGCGTTGCAGCTGGGGTGGGTATGGGTTTGGAAATTCATATATTCAAGATAAGTTTCTTTTCTTAGAGAGGAAAAATGCCACAAAGTTGGGAGAAGATCTAATAGAATAATTCATTGCAAATAACATTTGTTATTAATTTTGGCCTGTTTACTATTTGGAAACACATTTTTATTAGGCAGCCAGCTCTGCAGATGGCTGATTATAATTCATTGCAATTTTTCCTCTCCTTTTCATTCAATAATTTGTGGATACACCAGCTTTATTTCCAAGCAGTTGAAGTTTAATTCCTCAGCTAGGTCCACACCAAACAGCAGGAAAAAAAAAAAAAAAAAAGATCTAAGTCAAGTGTTTCATGTGCAAGTTTGTTTAAAAATTCTATAATCTATGACAAACATTTCAAATTAAAAGGGCATTCCCACAGGCAATGAAATAATGAAGCCCTTAGAATCAGGCAGCCGAGGCATGAAGCTGAGAGCTATTTCCACATTTTATGTACTCTCAAAGGAGAAGAGCAAATTCCGAGAGCAACATCGTGTTGTGTTTGTAGATATTTCTTACCAACTGCGGGCCAGACTCTGCAGCCAGCCTGGGGGCAGCTCGTGCAAGAGAGCAGGGAAAAGGCTGATTTCAGGTCTTTCTGTGCTGTGTTCAGCACAGAGCTCGGCGTGGCTGTTGGCTGTGATACCACAACTCTGTTCTTACACCCTTGTCGGTGGTTTCACTGGGTTTAACAGGGACTGTTCCTCCCTGTGAAGGTGTTTGTGTCTGGAAGGGTGAATGTGATCGCTGGGCAAATCAGGATTTTGTTCTCAAGTCCGGCGGGATTGAGGAGGGGGGGAGTTAAAAAAATCCATAGACAGGTGGACAAAGCACGATCAGAGCGACACCGGGGTCTCATCACACAGCACTCGCCGGACGGAAAAGTCCTGTGGACTTCGGCTGCCAAAAGAGCCCGTCCTTGGGCAGCGGGATCTCCCGCTGGGGCTGGAAAGCGGATAGCACCGAGGGAAAAGCTAACCCAGATCTCCTCTGTGTCCTACGGGACATCCCTGCACGCCCTGGGACAGCCTCCCGAGGGGCTCCCTCATCCCTCTACCCTCCGCGACAGCCTCTAGGGCATCTCTGCACCCCCCGGGACAGACTCAGGGACATTCCCGCATCCTTCTCCTCTCGGGACATCCACCGGAGCACCCCCGCACCCCTCGGGACAGGCTCAGGGATATTCCCGCATCCTTCTACCCCCGGGACAGCCTCCCAGCCGCCCCCGCATCTCCCGGGAGAGCTTCCAGAGCATCCCCGCACCCCTTGGGACAATCTCCCGGACACCCGCGTTTTCCCCCACAAGGGCTCGGCAGCGCCTTCCCCGCGGGGTCCGCCCCCCCAGCGCTGCCGGGGCCGGTCCGGGGGCGGCTCTGCCCCCCGCCCCCGCCGCGCCATTGGCCCCGCCGCCCTCCCCGCTCCGCCCCGCGCCCGGCGATGTCTCCGCCGAAGTTTTTCCGCGGCGGGCGCCGCACGTGGGAGCCCCGCGCCGAGCCCCGGTCCCGCATCCCCCTCCAGCCCCCGGAGCGGCAGCGGGGGCGGCTCCGCTCTCCCCCCCAAACCCGCCCCTGCACCCCTCCTTCCTCCCCCTCACCCCCCCTGCGGGGGGATGCCCCCCTGAAGCGCGGCCGCGGCGGGTCCCCCGCGCCGGGGATGCGGCAGCGCGCAGCCCCCCGGCCCCGCGGAGCGCAGCGCGGAGGGGCCGCGCCGGGGGGCGGCCGCGGAGCATGGCCAGGGCCCGGCCCGGCCGCCGCCTCGGGGTAGCATGGCCGTGAGCGCGGCGGCCCCCCCCGCCGCCGAGCCGCTGCCCCGCAGCATCTTCAAGAAGTTCCTGGTGATGCTCTGCTCCCTGCTCATGTCCCTCTACGTCTTCTACTGCCTGGCCGACCGCTGCCAGACGCTGCCCGGGCCCATCATCGCCGCGGGCGCCGCCTCGGAGGAGGAGGAGGGCGGCGGCGGAGGGTTGCTGGGGGGCTCGGCCGAGCTGCCCCCCTGGCAGGCGGCGGCGGCGCGGCGCAAGCGGCTCCTGCAGCGGCTGAAGCAGCGGCGGCGAAGGCAGGAGGCGGCGCCGGGCGCGGAGGTGCCGGGCGGGGGCGGCGGCAGCCGGGCCGGCGGCTCGGGCGGCGGGGGAGGCACGGCCGGCACCCTGACCCTGCTGCTGGGCGAGGGCAGCAAGCGGCTGCCGCAGGCCATCATCATCGGCGTCAAGAAAGGGGGGACGCGGGCGCTGCTGGAGTTCCTGCGGGTGCACCCCGACGTGCGCGCCGTGGGCGCAGAGCCCCACTTCTTCGACCGCAACTACGAGCGGGGACTCGCCTGGTACAGGTACGGGACGGGGATGGGGATGGGGATGGGGATGGGGACGGGGATGGGGCCGGGGATGGCGATGGGGCCGTGGCCGAGCCGGCAGTGCCCCCCGCTGGCCGCCCGGACCCGCCGCCCACCCGCGGCTCCCGGACCTGCAGCCCTGTACCCGCTCCGCAAAAGCCCCGCCGATCCTTTTCTCATCCCCCGATCCTCCCCGCCTCGCCCCCACCCTCATCTCCCCTGCTCGTTTCCCAATTCCTCGGGCCCTCTTCTCCCCCCACCAGCCCCTCGCTCCACCCGTTCTCCCGTTCCCGCTCCCCGCATCCCCCTCCCGGCTCTCCGCCTCCCCATCCCTGAATTCCCCGGCTCTCCTCTCCCTGTCCAGCGCACCCCGAGCCCTCCCGCCCCATGCAGGGTCCCTCCGGGGGTGCCCCGCTGCAGCCCGGGGGTGGATCCGGCACACAATGGGAAGAGCAGTGGGTGCCCCATGGCCCTGGGAATGCACAGGGATGCTGAGGCAGAGGTAACCTCCTCTCCCCGCGAAGAGCACGGGCCCCCCAACATCTTGCTGCTCCCGTACTTTGCTCAGGGCAGGGGAGGCTTTACAAAACCTGTGGCTCACCCTGACTCCCAGCCGAGCCGCCCCGCAGCCCCGGCTGCCTCCCCTTGCAAACCATCGCATCGTCACCTCCCACAACCCCCAGCCCAGCGATGCAGCCGTTGGAAGCCCCTTTCCTGTAGTCAGTGTGGAGAAAAAAAAAAACCTGTTTCCCATGTAAATATTTCAGCGTCCCAATAATGAGTAACCAAAAATGCCAGTTCCAGGAGCGTGACCCCACGCGCTCACCTTGCCCGAGAAACGATCAAAAAGGTAGACGGGGTTCGGCTTTCAGTGAATTTGTGTTGCCTTAAACAAAATAAAAGGCGCCCCTTTTGGAACGAGCCAGTAAATGTTAAAGCCAAAAAGGTTCTCACTGATGTTGTTTAGATGTTTTCCTTGTGTGTTTTAAAGCTAACAGAGCGGCGTCTCCTGGCAGATTCCTATGGAAGGGATTGGTTGGGGTGGGGGCGACACTGCTCTTTCTCGGAGTGTGCCTGTGTTTTGTGGCTTTCTTGAATGAACAAGCGAAAAGGAGAGGGCTTCGAGTACCCCTGGAGCTTGTTTCACTTTGGTGTTAAGCCCAGCTATTATCAGAGAGGAGATGATGATTTTGGCTCAGCTTGTGGTGACGGTATTGAAATGTGGAGTAGGATAGTACTGACAGTCCGAGTGTTTATATAAAGCCTTAACACGTGGAAGGGATGAGCTACCCTGTGTATCCGCCGGTGTCAGGAACACGACGGGTTTCTGCAGGCAGCAGAGTGTGGGTTCTCAGAGAAGGAAGATTTCCTTTCGTGTGGGCTGAAGCTGTCTACAGAATTATATTTTTAGTCTGTGCTTATCCGATTTCCACATGCTGACCCTGTAGCAGAAAGGAAACGTTAAAAACGAATCTGAGAAACCTCAAGAACTCTAATCAAGTCTTGACTTTGAAAAATAAACACATGGCTGTGGGGTGGCATCTACTGCAATTTATGGTGGATATGCAGAAAAGCTCATTTATCAAAGATGCTCTCGAAGCCTTGAGGAGCAGATGGCAGTGGGATAGACCCGCTTCTGGAAGCAGTCCCTGAGCGAGGAGTGCAGACCTAGACAGAGGAGGAGCCACAGGCATTTAGGGCATAGTACAGCCCTTGGTGTAGGGGATTTAATTTTCCAGAGGTTTGGTCTTGCTCTTGCAGCTCTTACTCACTGGAGGTGCTGTCCCGAGCGCTCTTTGTGTAATCATTATGTTTTAGCAGTTGGCACATGAGCTGCAGTTTGTTTGTTCTGGTATTTGATGTACTGAGTTTCATCTTTTTTTCTTTCTTTTTTTTTTTTTTTTCCTTTTTTATTAGCCCTGTGGAGGCTGAGGTACAGTGAATTCTTTGTATGGGATTATTCCTTTGAGACCTAATCTTGCTGGCTTTGCTTGTATGAGTAATCTTTACTAACACACGGGGTCCCGGCGCGGTGGCAGAGCTGCAGTGTCAGCCCGCTGCTCACCAGTGACCAGCCTGTTAGAAATACTCACTTAAAAAACTCCCCGTGTCTCTCCACGGATCTGCTGTGATCTTTGGTGAGGGTTCAGAGCCGGGGAAATGGCCAGATGTTTGCCAGGGGTCCCGATTCCTTATCTTTGGCATCAGAGGCTTAGGTTTCACGAGCGCTGCTGTTTCCCAGCGGTCAGACTAAACAGCATCGTTACAAGGTGTAAACACTCGGGTTTGCTTTCAGCGCCCGCAGGAAGCAGAGAGGAGAGAGCCCTGTCCCAGGGAACAAAAACCTGGTGGCTGTGGCAGCGACTCAGGCTTGTGGCTTGGAAGATCCAGCCACCCTTTGCAGCTGAAGCTGATGTCACCAGAGCGTGGAGATGGGCTGTGTCAAGGATGCCACACCGGGACCATGGCAAGGGTGACTGCAGGGTTTTGGGCATGAGGGGGACCACGTTTCCTCCTGGAAACAAAAGAGCAGCTCCAGCAGCAGCTGCTGTGAGGATGGAGAAAGTGGCTGAGCTGTGGCTGCAGCAGGAGGGTGATGGTCCTGGAGCAGCTGGTCAGGTGGTGGTACCTGTGGGGTAGCGGCTCGTGAGGCACAGGCTTGGTGACAGCAAGTGGTGTCACCTCTTGGGGTGCCACACAGTGCATGGAAGCACTATCCATTAAATCAGATGGAATAACGGCTCGGCTCTTCCAGCCCTGGGTGAGGGGCAGCTGTGCTGCCGAGAGGCTGACTTTGTAAACACCATCTGAGGGGTTTGATTTGGCGAGTGGGACACCTCCGTGGGTGCCTCCGTGTGTGGGTTGAATGTCAAGGGGAGATTTGAGTGCCGAAAGGAGCTCTCTCTGGTTTGGGATTGTGAGTCCCCTCTCCATACAGGGACAAAAGGAGGGAGGGGGCAGCCCACAATGCTCGCATTGACTTCAGCGCCGAGATCGCTGCTGCAGCCCTGAACAAGGCTATTGAGCTGACAGAGTTCAATAGCAGGTGAGCACGGGCTTTAATAGAGTTCAACTGCCATCCCCCACCCCAGCACGGCTGCACAGCCTGGGGAAAACTCCCAAGAACAGGGGCTGAGCCAGTCATGTAAAAGAAATGTCTGGATTAAAAGAAAATATCTGTGTTTGCGGGTGATACTGTGAATCTGGCTGGTTCCCTCTGATCCTTTGTTAGTCTCGCGCTGATTGAGCTGCCTGTTGGAATGTCATTATACTGTCAGTCACCCCGGGAACGTTTATTTCGTATGTTTTAATCTCCCTGCCTCTGAAGCACCGATGCCAATTTCACTAGAGCGAAGCCAAGCTAATGTCATTAGATCACACTCGATCCAGGGGAAGATGAAAGATGATTCAAAGTTACTCCGGCAGGTTGGGAGTTTAAGTATCGCTCCTCCCTGATGCTTCCAGAGCTGGGGAGTTCTGGCTCCTAATTAATGTCCCCTTGGGATTTTTCTCCAAGGCTTTCTTTTTTTTTTTTCTTTTTTTTTTTTCTTGCTTCTTTGTAATCTAGGCAGGCACTGATGTTTCCGAGTCAAAGGGAACAGAGAACATCTCAGTTCCTGAAGAGTTCTGGGATGGAGGGAAGGAGGTTTGTTGGGAGGGGATGTGCTTACAGCAGCTGCGAGCAGCTGCATCCCTCCTTGTGCCATCTCCCATCCTCTGTGCCTCAAGTCAGGGTGAAATCAGAGCTGGGGATGGAGGAGCTGGGCCACTCCTGCAGCAACGGATGGCCTGGAGGTCCCGGGAGTTTGAGGTCACCATAATTCAGCAGCACAGTCTGTGAGTGCTGTGTAAGCATGGGAAGGAGGGTGGGAGTGCGGGCATGGCAAGCAGGAGTCTGTGGATGATGCCAGGGGGGATGTCAGGGCACTGAGTACAACTTGTGGAAGGTGGAGCAGGACCAGGTGGCCACTGGGAGGAAAGACCTTGTCAAAGCCCCTCGCCTAAGGGAAGTGCTGTAGCAGTAGTTGCCTTTAAGTGATCATCTCCCGACCTTTCCCAGCCACCCTTGCTGCCTCTGCAGGGACCACCAGGTCTTTGACTGTGTTCAGGGTGTGCTCAGCCCAGAACGTGGCTTGTGCCATTGGACATCGAGTCTGAGCCAGTTTGGGTTTTTCACTCCCTGTTTGTGTGCACTCCTGCCCGTAGGAACGTCTGGTTTAGCAGCACCTTCTCCTTGTCCTGGGAACATCTCATCTCCCAAACACATCTGAATTACTAATAGCTTCAAGTGCAGCCTGCAGCAGTTTCTCTGCAAATTGCAGCCTTGGACAGCCACACGCTAGAGAGGATCAAGGCCCTTGTTTATTTATTAGCTGTGTAATCAGACACCTCCCATACTGAGCTCACAGGGCCAGGTGCTGTATAAAAAGGGAACAAAAGGTGGTCTTGGCCCCAAAGTGCAGGTAATTCACTGTAAACAACAGGTGGAGAGGGGCTGAGCCTGGCACAGGCAGAGAGTGCGTGCCTTGGTTGGGTGGTGTGGGTCTCCTGGGCAAGGAGACATTGGAGATGGAGGATGAGGTGGGTTTATGGGTGATTGAAGGGATGTCTCTTTGCTGGGTAAGAGCAAGGGGGAGAAGGATAAAAATGCTGATGAGATCAGGGTTGGGGTCATTGAGACTGTGTAAGACAATAACTGGTTGTGGTGCTCGTGTGCTTTGCCACTGCCTTTGTGTGTGATCTGGGCTTGGACACTCCAAGGTACATCAGCAAAGACCTGAAATAGTTTGCAGGTTGACTGGGGAGATGCCCTGGCCTGCCTCAGTTTGCCCATCTGTAAAGTGGGAGGGAAGTCACTGCCCTGTGCTGCAGGGGTGGAACAGCAGCGTTGTGGCTCTGTGGCACTTCTCTCCAACACAGAGGGGAGGAGGTACATGGAATCTGAGCTTGTTGGGCTATGCTCTGGGTTAAATAACAACCAAAGCAGGTGAACCCCA